ATATATATATATATATATATATATATATATATATATAGTTGCGCGCATTTTGGGACCTTTTAACAAATGACTCCCGACACTAGTGAATTCAATCCCTTTGGCTTAATCTCCAAGTTAGGCGATTAGAAAAAGCCTGAAGCACATACAACTGCATAGTGGGTTTACTTTTTCATCGATCTTATGTCTAAGACTTGCGTTTGCCAGCTTCTTTTTGAGGCCAGTTTTTTCAATATGGTACGTTAAGTGATTAATTGTGATAGTTACTTTATTTGCCTTCCATAGTTGATTGTGAGCTCCATCCCCCATTGGCTCACCCTTACTTCGAGGCCAAGATTTTGGTTTTCACTCAAATGAACTCTTCTACCGGAACTCTCAGTTTAGTAAGTTTGAAGGAAATCGTCGAGGCTGATACCACTTTATCCACTCCGGACTCTGCTTGCATCTTTCATGGTGATGTGAAGAGATTTGGTGAGAGTTGATTACACTGCCTCAGCCTCTTATAACCAAACGGTCAAGTGTTCGAACACTGGCTGGAAGGTCGCGGATTCGAAACTCTTACTTTTGTCAGATGTGCATTGCTGACGATTCCAAACAAAAACGAAACGGCTTTCAAGCATAAACTGGCCTCACTGACGGGACGAAATCCCTTGAGCTTCTTTTTCTAATTGTCGCTAGACTAGGACACACTTGTCTGCCCATGGGCGCTGTTTGATCCTGATTTTGAACGCTTAGGCACCTATCGCACATTGTTCCTTATCCTTAAACGATGCTGGTCCGGACCAGGGAAGACCGCTACCCTCGAGTTCATTGCAAGCGATACTGAGGTGGAGACGATTTCAGCCAAATTCGATCGGAAATCATAGAGTACACACTTCCCGTTCAGCTCTGTCTGAAGGTTTCAGTGACTAAGCACTCAAAACATGTCACTATCGGTAGTCAACCGTCGGCGAATCCTAATCGATCCTAGCAATCGCTGTTTCGATGCCATAAATATAGACCTGGCTGGACCTCGAAGCATTGTTTGCTTCATTACATTTTTCTTTGATGACAGAGTAAATCGAACGCCACTTACTGCTGCGACCAAGAGACGACGGTCTGTGCACGGAGATCTACACATAAGGCGATTCATTCCTCACTGTAACCCAGAAGACCGTAAGCCGATTTCGGGCTTGAGCACTCCATATCCTCTTTGGTAGTCATCATCATCATTATTGTCAGCTGTAAGAACCGCGTACTCGTCGTACAGTGGTTGTAGCTTCCGCAGTTTCGTTCACCGATGATTTGGGGGGGGGGATAGGTAGCTGCGCATTGCACGCGCGAGCTGGTAAATTGGTGCATAAATCCAGCACTGTCCGTAGGCTGTCAAGCGGGGGGGGGGGGTTGAAAAGGAGCTATGCGTTGAAGGCAATAGCTTTGATTAGTAGTACTGATGCCTAGTTTTAGCTGACTGTTAAGACTTCGGCATTGTTGAAATTCGTGATACGGTTTGATCGGTGAGCGCTATATTTGCGTCATAGAATGTGGCCTTATCCTTGGCGCTGATGTTGTTCGAAGAAATTAGAGGCAGTCTTTGTACTGCACGCTCGGTTGAAAACCGTTGTAAACAAGATATCCGTCATCGCCTTGTCCGGGTCTCAATGTAGCACGAATGTGATTTTTTCCTCGACCATTAATTTATTGCTTTAACCCATCTGATCTTCCTCCTGTTTCATTATTCTTCATTTGTTTGTCAGGGGTGCCTCTATGATGCGTGAGGTCGGTTGGGTGGTATTTGACGAAATTCACTACATGCGCGATCCGGAACGGGGTGTGGTTTGGGAGGAAACATTGGTCTTATTACCCGACAGTGTTCGGTATGTGTTTCTCAGTGCGACCATCCCGAACGCCAGGCAGTTTGCCGAGTGGATCGCCCACTTGCATCATCAACCTTGTCACGTCGTGGCTTCTGACTGCCGTCCGGTTCCCTTACGGCATTATCTGTATCCAGTTGGAAGCGAAGGTCTCTATCTTGTACTGGATGAGGTGAGCACTGGTTGGGTGTTTCCTTACTGACTACTTCTGATAACTGTGAGGTAAACCGGATAAAATGCTAGTTAGAGAAACCTTGTAAAGTATGCCTCAAAAACAGTAGTAACGTTACTCATTTCTTTACTAGCAGTCGTACTGGGGTCGCCATGCTAACGTTTTGTAACCGTAGCGGATCGGCGTCACCGTTCTAGTTGTCTAAAAGTCTGCTACGCAGTCCCTCGAGGATAAACCTTTCAATTTTGGATTTGGTTCAAGTTAGCCATGTGTATATCTCGTTGTGATTGGTCTTGTATGCAATTATATTTCAGGGCAAATACCTGGAGGACAATTTTGAACGTGCGATGCGGTCTTTCATGTCCTCCACCGATCCTGAGCGGAAAAAGCCCATTGGAAACAAACGTGAGTGAATCTCGGGGTTTATGCACCTGTCTGGTTCAATCGCATTTTGTTCGGTTCCCAAGTATCGTCGTTGCTTGATGGTTGGAATCTGGCGATTAGGTCTGATGAGGGTGACACCCGATTGGTTAGGGTGTTCGTTTCTAACGAATATGTAGATTATACCCAACCCCGGATTTTCGGTTATCTCTATGCAGGCTTGAACACTGGTAGTATTTCTGTCCTCAGGCCTTTCAGTCCCTTACTGTCGAATTTACCCCCATTAGCAGTCGTACACTCCAAATTTAGATGAGTTTCTCCTAGACAGTTGAATCAATTGCAGGTTGTGTTGTACAGTATGGCGGTCTTTCTAGAAATCTAGCCTTGCTGTCGTGGTAAAAACAGAACTCGTTCGTAGACCTTGTTTGCCATTGTTCATGGATAGTGGACGCCATAGAATGACTTATTCTACCCTGTCCTAAAGTAAGAAGCTACAAAGGTGGAACGTCCACCGAATTCTATCGCTTACCCGGGTGTAGTTCACCGAATAATTAGGGGCGGGTTTGGTTTTGACGGAAGGCTCAAGTGCATTCCAACATTCTACTGAATGTGTTGCACGAACTCGGGATTGCTCCCACCTGATGAGCCAGAAGAATGGCGAAACCGGAAGTGGAGCTATCGAAGAGCTTTTGGCAACCGTATGAGTAGTGCTCCGTCAAGAAAATATTGGCTTCAGCTCCGGCTGGATTCTTTCATAGGATATTTCTTAAGGATATTCGGTTGACTTCAAAGTCATCAACCAATATTTTGACCCGTCGCCATTTCAATTTACGGTGTCTCCACATCACTTGATGTGAGTTAGAGCAATTTCTCATAAAGGCACACCTAGCTGGGACCTGATTTCACGGACTGAACGATTTGTACGCCAGTGCACGAGTCACTGAGACATTGTCACACTAAGTGTAATGCAAGTGAGGTTGGTCTGTTGATGTTCGTTTGTTTGCTTAGTTTGGCATTGGTGCTGAAAACGTTTCATTACAGACCGGGTTAATGTGTGGAATTATATAGTTTTCGCTCATCAGGCTTTGGTTGGTTGCTTGGGTGCGCATTCCTATTGGTTGATTGGTTGTTTGATCTTGCGTTTTGGACGTAATCACACCCCAGGTTGTCGCCTACTACCTAACTGCCAGTTTCGATACTATCAGGAGAAGCCCCACCAAATCAAATGAACAACCTGCTATTCTGAATGAGGACCCAGCATCGTTGTTCTTAAGGGTCTATTACAACTATCTTGGTCAACCGTCTTGCTCCCTTTTTCCTTTCTTTATTGCTTATCTACTCTCTCTGTGTTTCCATCACTAACAGGTTCAGAAAACAACGTCATACAAATTGTGAGGCTCCTTAAGCATCGTAGTCTGGAACCTATCATTGTGTTCAGTTTCAGTAAGAAGGAATGCGAGATCTATGCTCTCCAACTGGCCAAGTTCGACTTCACCAGCGGTACGTTTCTTCAAATGATAACCGTCTTTTTCTGATGAGTGGTTACTTATCAACGTGTTTCAACATATACCTCCACATTTCCTCTCTATCTCGCCCACCACAGATGCTGAAAAGAAGATTGTAGATGAGGTGTTCCGCAATGCCATTGATAGTCTTTCTTCCGAGGATCGGTCTTTACCGCAAGTGGAGAGCGTGTTGCCTCTACTACGTCGTGGTGTGGGTATACATCATGGTGGCCTTCTCCCTCTGCTCAAGGAGACGGTGGAAATCCTCTTCGGTGAGAATTTGATCAAGGTTGGTTTCCTCTTGATATCGTGATTTTTTCTCCTCAACGGAGGGGGTTTTCGCCAAGGTTCGCTTGCCGTCACGATAAGATTGGGCCTTACTACAGTGTGACAGCTTGTGCATTTTCAAAACCGATTGACTATACTGGGGAGTGTACACGTGACACTCACTGAACCTCTCAGACCAGGTTGGTCAATGCGTAGAGGTTTAACCAACACCGTCTCTTGGTATTCCAGCTCAAAGGTGAACACATGGCTGTTTACTCCTCAGAAATCTGAACTGCTCTGGCCTTCTTATGCAAACCACCGCTGTCGTGCGGTTTAGCTTTTGAGCTAAAGACTTCGTTTGAAGACTTTAGTCATCCTCCTGTCCTAGGCCTTGGCGTCGTGGCAGCAACTCAGTCCACGTGCAACCATGAGTCGCACGAGTGCAAGTAACCTCATGCCATACCAACTGTTCCGCGTTGCCATCAACCGGATTGCTTTACTTCTTGCATAGAGTAGGATAGGGGTAGGCAGAAACAGACTATTGACGGCGTTTGCTTTCTGTCTGCTTCACATTTTCGTTCTCTTCCACGTTACTCTGTTGCTGGTGTTATGATAGCTCCATCGCCCATTGACGTTAGCCACTTGTGTCGCTCGCCATTGCCCTAGACATTTCGAAATCATCATTCAAACCCTGACACACAGCTCGCTTGGCAGCCATTAGAGTTCGCACCATGAAATAGGCCGGACAATATACTGATCTTGCGAATACGCTGAACTCGTTTTTCATTGATTTGTTCTCTCTGAAACGAAGATCCAGGACATAATTATGACTGTTGAACTGACCTCCCCATCCGTTGCTTCTCGCCTCCGTTGTCCTATCTATGGTACTCAAGAAGCCTCTATCGATTTGAAGTAAAGTAATCGTTCAGCTGCACCACTTTCGGTGCCCTGCTAACATGCCACCCGAACGAAGCACGAGACCTGAGATACTGTCAGGTTGTTCATGCTTAGACAGGAGCAGCCGTGATATTGGTGTTGGGTTCGAAGATTAAACCTTTCGGCCAGTAAGTTCGCGTTTTAATCACTGAGCTATCTCGATCTTTGAAAAGTTGTTGTTTGGAAGGTCTATGCTTGGTTTGATGTCCGTTGACACTCACCTTCCTATGTTCAGTTCGTCTGGCAACTTCAGCGCAAGAATCTCGGAAACGCGATGACAATCTCTTCCCATATTATATCCGCTTGCGCCCCAACAGACTATTGATATGGTACTCAAAGACCTTTTGCGACATCTTGAACTTTTGATTACATTGGGCCAAGGGTTTAGATATTGTTGTGGTTGCCAGGAATACGAACGCGCAGACGGCTAAACTCAACGCTGCTGAGGTTCATTTGGATGCTGCGTTTGATCCCATCAATCGCCTTGCTCTTTTCACCACAGTTGTACAACAGGATATACCCCAGAAGTCTGTGAATATTATACACTCTTTGTTTCCACACACTTGGGGTCACGTGAGAGCGTATGTGGATGTCTCCAAGGCCTGTCTGACAAGCATTTGTATCGACAAGGATGTTCAATCTGTCCAACTTTGTTTGATGAGATGATGAGTCAAACTGAAGAATCTGCGAAACTCCGATGCTCGGATCTCTCCTCGTGAGAACCTTCTCGTCTTGGATTATGCGAATGACGTTTTTCTCATTTTCACAAAAGGGTAGCAGTTACTGAAAAACCTGATCGGAATGTGTCTCGCGCTCCACTAGGTGTAAAGATATGGGACTATGTCAATAGGGTTCATGCCGTCAGTTTCTGTCCGTGTTGCCTGACCAGGTGTTAGAGATTTAGGTACGTGGAATGCTTCTAGTAGGTTAACTGAAATCGTACCTCAAATGAATTGACATTGTTCTACGGCACTGGTGCATTACTGTTCTCTTTTGATATTGCTGTCAATCATATTGATGAGTGTCGCCTTCCACTGAAGGCAACTTCCCAGGGCTTCTGTTTTTTTTCTTTTAATGTTGAGGAGACGGAGCCCCGGGAAGTGTTGAACGTGGGTCCATGCACACATTATGCATGTTGAGGAACGGAGCCCCGGGAAGTGTTGAACGTGGGTCCATGCACACATTATGCAAATGAAAATAAGGAATCCTTGGGTGGAACTCTAAGGTTTTCCTTTTTATTTCTCCAAACAAGATAGTTTCATGGACTAGCTTTACCTCCCGTGTGTATTCGTTAGAAAGACGGGTTTCGAGTCCATGTGTGTCCTCAAAACACAGCTACCACCAGCAATACTCAAAGTTCGGAATTTGCTTTTTCGTTGTCCATGTTTAAACAACTGGTCATCCCGTGTCCTGATTCCTGGTTGTATGGTGGTCATACTTCAGAACAGATTCATATATGAATTCGTTTGAAATACATATGCATTCCATGATTCGTTACCAATCGGGCTGTGTAAGTTGTGACGCGGTGACCCAACAGGTTTGGGTAAGAGGACCCGGATGCGATAGCACTGGTTACCCATTCTGTTCGTTTTTGTGTGATGTGGAACATCTACTAGAAACCCGAAGGAAACAATCAAAGAACAGAAATCGATCAATATACAGTGTACATTAACTGTTAGTTGAAGTCTTGGTCTTCGTCACCGATTCCTAGTTGCTTCCAAGATTCTCTATCAGGACAGCGACGTTATCATTTTGAATCACCGTTGATCTTCGAATAAACTATTTCTCTGCAGTTTCAATCGGACCATTTGTATGGATCTCGTGGTTCCATACAGGGACCTTGACTCTTCACTCTTGACATTAACCTCGGGTGTAGAAATTTATGTGATAAATGCTTACTAGTTTAACGGTGTGTACTACCGATGAAGCATGCGAGTAACTTCTAGAAAGGTGAAGGTTGCTACGGAAATTAGGGGACCATTTTGGAGTGTTCGCTCATTATTGTCTACTGTTAAAAGAATGTCCAAGAAAGTTCAAGATGACACTTGGGGATGTTCACTTTTAAAAAACTCTGTGCAGATGAGATATTTACTTTCCTGTCTAATAGCTTGTAACTGCTCAGTTCGTGCTCGTCAGTAAACAAATAGTAGTTCGTTTATTCGTTCACTATAGCGACATTTCGTATGCATGAGACTAGTGTGAAATCAGAAGAGTTTACCGCAGAAGACTAGGATTTAGGCACCGACCCATTCAGTCATTGAATTCCATCGTAATTCGATGTAATTATCATGTCAACTCCACAACATAGCTTGAGAATGCTACGAACCCCGGGGTATAATAATGTACTAGTTGTCGCCTTCTGTCTGGCATGGTGTGCTTGTGTCTTTTGGTCGCTACATCTTACGAATTGACGGAAGTTTTCACTTCAGCCTTTTAGACTAGACCCGGCACTGAATGGAGTATGGCTCCAGCTGCCACATCCATGTTTTGGCGTTAGCCAAGCTAATCCATTGATGTTAGGTTTTGCAATTTTTCTGATCAGTCTCGCTTGCAACCGCTACCTCCTGAAGGCAGTGGCGTCTATTCAGGATCTTTACTAGCTTTCTGTCTAAGCAGTATCCTTAAGTGTCGATGACTGCTGATGTATCTTGCTCCAGAGTTCCCGTCCGCGTAAGTGATATTTATCAGCGGGAATCTATTTACTGGGAGTTGTCGCAAGGGAATCTCAAACTCACTAGGTATTAGGTTGTGTGGCGTGTTTGACTTGCTTCCAGTAACTCTCTCTCTACTTTGTTCGATTAACTGTCTGTGCTCCCGCATTCGACTTGGAGCTCATTCACGTGAACTCAGCTTAGGAATCAGCATTTACCTTACCACTTGGCTCGCTTTCTCCACGCACTTCCTTATCCCTACTCATCTTTGATAATTTTCCATTCACAGTGTCTCTTTGCAACGGAAACCTTCGCTATGGGCCTGAATATGCCTGCAAGGACCGTTCTGTTCACATCAGCACGCAAATATGATGGACAGAGTTATCGATGGGTAAGCTCTGGTCATAGTCCGTACTGCCGTTACTTTCATCGGATCTGTGATATTCAGGGCGATCATAAAAAAGCGCTGACATCGCCGCATTGCATTTATATGCTTCTGCGTGTTCCAGAACTAAACTAACAAGCTAGCCTTTAATTCCACCGCAGGCGATCGTGTTTGGTTTCACAATACTTCTGCTTAGGATTGGGGTCCTTACTGACGGCTTAGACACTGATCTTTGGGAAGATCGGCCTCTTGGTCTGTAGCACCATATGATAACGACAGTTGTCACTTTAGAATCAGGGGTTACCCTTTTTTCAGGATTTCGGGTCACGTAATTTTCAGCTACCAGTTGGGAGTCAATGACAGCTTACATTATCTATCTTTCAGTGAATTGAATTTCACACCGGTTTGGACAAAGTTTCATCGTTCTATTTGATCCTTTCAATCAAGATGGTGGTTCCGGAGGGCTATACGCATTAGAGGTTAGTTGTCCAATCACCTGATTGGAAACAGTCTTTCAAAGACACTGCATTGCTCTTTTAGGCTAGGGCTCGGTGTGTTGTTGTGCAAACTTGATTCCTCGTTTGTTTGAGTCTTATCCATCTGCTCACTACCTGTTCGTGTTACCCGGTCAGTGAGACAGGAGCTACCCACTCAACAAAGTGTACACTCAGATGTCAACTTACAATAGGGCTTGGTTCATAGGACCATGTGACTCTTCGTACTGCATTAAACGGTCGGTGAAACCGGCATGATTTGAACATAGACAGTTTACTTGTTCTTGTAAACAGCACCTGCCTGCAATAAAATCGAATTACCGAATGCAAGCGGATTCAGGGCCGACCGAATAGTGTGCGCATCCGTGTTTTTACTAGAATGCTTACAGTTATCCTATAGTTCTAATCTGGTTTGAGCACAGACTCAGCGAATTCGACTGAGACTCTTGAGCAACTTTGTACCTCGGTAGACTGATGTCAAGGCTGATCTTCCCTGTTCCTTCTGTCATTATCCGCTTCTGATTTTCTCAGATAACCCCCGGTGAATACATCCAAATGTCTGGTCGTGCAGGCCGTCGAGGCAAAGACGACAGCGGTACGGTGATTCTGATGGTTGATGAGACCATGACCGACGAAGCAGCTCGACAAATCATGATGGGCCCTCCTCCTCCACTGAATTCCGCTTTTCGCCTGACGAACAACATGTTGCTCAATCTTCTCCGAGTGGAAGAAATCAATCCAGAGTACATGATGGAGCGCAGCTTTTGCCAATTCCAAAACTATGCTAGTCTACCTGTCATGTATCGAGGTATGCAGTGTTTGGTCTTGTGACTTTCTGATTCGATTTCACATGCTAAGCTAACGCTTCCGCTCTTCGTGGACTTGTCTTATTTTGGGAATATTTTTTCATGAACGTTTTGATCATAGTTTATCCCCTTCTCTCTATGGTATCCGTGATGCTACCCAGAATTCTGTCAATGTGTCCAATTGCGAAGCTCGGCGAACAGATCAACGATAGTCAGATCAACCACTAGTACCCAGGATTCTGCTTTGACAAAAAAGAAACGTTGGCTTTGCACGGCGGTCGATTTTCGGGTTTCCGTCGGTGTCGATCTGATGTTGTTTCCATTGATGTGGGCCATGCTCAAGGATTCCACATCATGTGATGAAGGAAACCGTAGCCTAGGGTTCCTGCCCTTCGGTAGGTGGGCGGTGAACAAGTTTCCAAATGACCGATTTAAACGCCACTGGACTAGCTTTCTAGTTGAATAATTCCTGAAAGTCGATAAATGTACCCTACCTGTGCTGTATGTCCTTGAGGACATCGCTGGCCAAAAATCCCCGTTTCACAGGTGTACAAAACACATTTTGACTGGCTTTTCAAACGTAAAGTTAGATGTGCCAGGTGGCACACCTGTCACCTCCGAATTACCGTCTCATGCTAGATGTTTTTTTCACTTGAGTTCGAAATACTATCTCAATTAGGATATCTGCTATGGTCTTTGCCATTCAGCCTGAAGACCAGTTCAATACAACTCTTGTCCTTCTTAGTATGTGTCCATTGTTCGCCCAACGCTTTGAAAGCAGCAGCGTCTGGTTGTCTTGCTCTGCAGCTGCTGTTCCGTAGGGATTCTTCACCTTACATTAAAGTGGGAGAATAATAAAGTCGCTTCAATCGGACAGAAACCTTTCACCGTCCAAGAATTGACGACTTATGGAGCAGTCCGAGAAGGTCGGTACTGGGTATATTGTAGATCTCTGCACTGACTCCGTCCTCACTTAGGCTTTGTATCAGAGGACTGCAGTTTCCATCGTACGATGAGGGGCCAATGTATCAACGAGGGCTGACTTACGCTGGCGCGTACCTTCGAGGAGATATCGGAACTGTCCGGCCCAATTGGGGAATATCCCGTTAACATTGGGGACGGTTTCAGTGTGTAAAATGGGTGGAATAGTTGAAAAATACCCGGTTATTGATCAAATCCCTGAAACTGACCGCGCTGGGTGTGCCTATAATGCTATCATTTTGGTACCAGTAACGAGTGGAACACCAATGAATATATTCTTCTTGAAGACTGTTATGGTCGTAACCTTTGATTGTGTGAGGCACATGTTTTCAGGAATTTCTGAATAATCATGATTGCGCAGCGCGTTCTGGGTCGAAGGTAGCTTCTTTACTAGTATCCATGCGAAAGGCTTGATGATTTTGGTCGTTCCTGACAGCCTTGCTCAGCGCAACAGTTTAGGGTAGTTTAGTGTGTTTGAAAAGTATGAATCTGAGACAAGATAGCTCAGTTGTCAGAGCGCGAATTTACTAACCGGAATGTCCGCGGTTCGAACATCTATCTGTCGACTCCCCCTGTCCAAGTTTGAGGGACCTGACAGCTTGCTTCCGTGATCCAGAGGCTTTAGGTCGGTAAACTCAACAAACTTGTTGCCACTCTTAAAATGGTCAAAGACCGTCCTTTCCGTCTAGTCCCCAGGTGGTCTGCAGGGGCATCGTGGCGGAATTTGTGAAACAGAACACAAAACTCGTCAGTTTTTTTCACGGAACGCATCACATTAACTCGTCGTCAGGTTAACTAGTTAGTGATCCAATTTTTATCGGTTGCCTGATTATACTCAATTGAGGGAACTAGGCTGTTCTTCACAGAAGGCCACTCTAGACTACTGTGGTCAACCTGAGTTGTACGACTGTCGTTGGAGTATCGAGTACTGCCTAACATGCTGAAAGCTTGCTTCCGTGATCCAGAGGATTTAGGTCGGTAAACTCAACAAACTTGTTGCAAGTTTGAGGGACCTGACAGCTTGCTTCCGTGATCCAGAGGCTTTAGGTCGGTAAACTCAACAAACTTGTTGCCACTCTTAAAATGGTCAAAGACCGTACTTTCCACGTTTGTGATGTGTGATGCATCAGACCATCTGGTGGAGGCATTCCAGTCACTGGAGCCTATGAGCACTTCATCTCTCAGTACTCTGGTGCTTCCAGAATGTCATGGAATTCATATATGTTATTTTACTCGGAACCCTGTGTCGGTGCAGTGTTGATCAACGACCAGTTTTGAAAAAGACAATCTGGATAATTAATAATTTGGATAATTGATCGTTTCGGATTTTCGGCCTTCAGTGTCTTGCCTCAGACGCCAGTATCTTGCGCCAAGGCAGTGACGAATCCCCTCGTTCAGTCACGTTGTCCAGAAACCTGAAAACGAACTCTACAGACTTTCTCTGGTTCGATTGGCTTGCGCGTGGTTGAGCTGAGATCTTGGGAGTTATGTGGGAACCGGAACCAGCACTGTCAATTCAGATACCAGTCAATTTGGCTTCAGTCTGTCATACCGTATCCGCTGCTGGGATCAGAATCAGTTTTCATTCTTTGCAAACGTCTCTGGTGAGTAGCAACAATACAGGACATCAGTGAAACCGGCAAGCCCTGTGACAGGAGTCAGGTGTCCAAAGGAGCATGCTTCATATTTCATATTTTGAACAATCTGTTTTTGGTTTGTCTCCTTTCAGAACTCAGCGAACTCCGTGACTCTTACTGCTCTACCAGCATAGAGGATGAAGATTCTGTGGAATCGTATCAACAAATTCGTCTTTGTCTCAATGATCTTATTGGACAACAATGGCACTACATTAGGCGACCGCAATATATAGTTCCATTCCTCCAGCCCGGTCGACTCATCAAGGTAAGGGCACTTGCGCCCGTCTGCTGAACTGTTCACAATTAACCACAGTTTTGATCTGTCCCAGTCGTCATTACGGACATTTATTTTATCATTTACCCAGGTCACCACCGACACCTGTTCTTACGGCTGGGGTGCCGTGATCAACTTAAAAAAGCGTCACCGACAAGATCGTAGCTCGACTCCAGAATCTTTCTATATGATCGACTGCTTGTTGTCAACACAGCCTCAGAAACTTCGTCCAGCTGAGGGAGGATCCGAACCTGATACAACCACATCCGCCAACCCCGCGACCAGTAGTGAGCAGGCTTCAGCCGAAGTCATCCCCGTGCGATTGGACTGTGTTGTTGGGATCAGCGCAGTTCGCCTTATGGTCCCGAACAACTTGTTGCCCAAAGAATCCCGTCAGGGTGTGTTGAATGCGATAGAGAAGGTAATCACGCGTATGGGTGGCGTTCTGCCTCCGTTAGATCCGGTGGAAGATATGCGAATTTCGGACCCGAAGTTTCTGGAGATCAATGAAGTAAGCCCTTGTTCTGGTCACTTTTGTACTTTGGATATCCCATCTTGTTGTTTGTCTGCGTAAGCGAAGCTGCCAGCCCCTCATACGGTGGATTTGTTTTCGTCCATATGTTCATCTGCCAGAGTAGATCATTTTCGGTTTCATTACTGTCTCAGAGTTCGAGTGCTTGGCATATCCGAAACACGATATTCAGGTTCGTTTCTACACTTTTCCCCGATTGTCTTCCCGACAATGCCTGAGGGGGACTACTGTTCCTTAGATCCTTAAAGCACAACTAGGCGCTTGATAAACACGTTCATGTTTTTCCCCCATCTTTCGTTCGTTTTGTTTGAAGCGTTTCCACCTTCAAGAACGCGGTCGAAAATCAGACTGCTCTGTTCTGGTAATTAGGTCACCTGAAATTCCGTCTTCCCATAGGTCTTTCTGTTAGTATTTTCGTGACTGAACTCGTGAGACTATGGTGCTCGTTCCATAGAACTCATATGTCGCGTCACATTTCGGTACACAACACCTGGGTTTTCCGGTATTATTATATACTCCTGCTCTAATTTGTTCTGTGAATTCTTAGCTTTGAATGTATCAAGCTTTGATTGCATTGCGTATGCAACCTTACACATTTCTCAGCCAGAAGGGATGAGTTTTGATCCAGCTGCCTTATTCTACTAGGGTATGTTGCGAATGGATCAGAGGTTTCCAATCCTGAGCCTCTTTTTCAGATCCTTTTGTATATAACTTGTGTGTCTTCCTTCACTGGGGTGTGCTTGCCACCTGATGAGTCTCTGAAAAACACCATCTTTTCTCTCCTGAATGCCTTCCGCTCATCATACAACCCATGCTTCTTATTCTCTTCAAAAGCTTCGTCTACACATGACAGTATCTTCCTAACCGTGGGTAGTATCTTCAAACGGCGCATGTATGATTATCCTAATACCATTTTATCACTCCGGACGTATGAATTGCATCCATCTGGACTTTTATTAGTCTCCCCGAGCCTTTTTTAACACTTGCTTTATGTGATACCATAGTGGATGCTAGTGGACTCTCGTACAATCTCATCTTCGCTATTATTCAATTGCAGAAAGTCAAGGCGTTCGAAGAACGGCTCACTCATCACTGGCTCCACGACGATCCGCGTCTGCCGGAGCTTTTACGGGCGTTTGAGAAAAAAGAGCAGCAACGACAGCGCATTGAACAGCTGACCAAAAACCTTAGTGGGAAAGTATCTCTGGTTCAGCTGGAAGAGTTGTCCGCTCGGAAGCGTGTGCTCCGTCGACTAAATTTCGTTTCGGAGCATGACGTTATTGAACTCAAAGGTTGTGTTGCGTGTGAAATCACTTCAGCTGACGAGCTACTTCTAACCGAATTGCTCTTCGACGGGGTATTCAATCGGCTCTCAGCGGAACATATCGCTGCGTTGCTGTCATGTTTTGTATTCGAGGAGCGCGCTTCTGAAATGCCAAAGCTGACGAAGGAATTGTCGGATGCATTGAGAACACTTCAAGTACGTGTACTTGTTTATTTTGTGCCTGTGCTGTACTGCTGGCAACAGGATAACTGAGGACTTCAGGAATACCACTCATTGAAGACTTTTCCAACGTATTAAGGCGCATAGTGATTTCTGAGGCCACTCAGAGTTCGTACCCTACAACGGACACATCCAAGGCACTCTCAGTCAGTACCTTTCTACTTTCCTTTTCATGACAGCGAATCACATTTGAATCGACTGTAGAAATCAAAGCCTTGTCTATAGACGCCAACAAGTGTGTAAAAACCTACCGATCATTTGTACATCCGTGTGCCGCCAAATATCACTTATGATTACAGTGTCAGTTGTTTAGGCGACACGACACAACTAATCTGGCGCTAAGACACTGTTTCGTAAACATCATGGCAGTCAGTGACTCAACCAATGCGAGTCTTTGATTGGTCAAGTAATCTGGCACGAAGGAACTTTAGTGTGCGTGATCACTAGTGTGGTTAGCCTCGTGGTCAAATGCCACTGGGTAACTCCTATCCCGGGTCATTGCCCAGACTGTGTTTATGCGTATGGGTGAATGGGAGAGATGGCTCAGAGCGTGAATTTACTGACCGGAAGGGCCGTGCTTCGAATTCCGCCTCTGCCTCTCGAGCTCTCCTCCTAAGGCTTGGGGAATCTGGCAGTATCCCAGCCCCCATGCTTCCTTCTGGCGGCATGGCAGTTAGACACTGAAAGGGTACTACAGCTGAACGACTTTTCCGTATAACTGAATATTTTCCTCTGCATCATCCTAATCTTTTCGCTTCCACTTTGTAGGATACGGCCAGACGTATTGCTCGAATTAGCAATGAATGTCGCCTCAAAGTAGACGAGGATGCCTATGTGGATTCTTTCAAACCTCATCTGATGGATCTGGTTGATGCATGGACACGGGGTGCCTCGTTTGCCAAAGTCTGTTCAATGACCGATCTTTTCGAAGGCACCATCATACGCACCTTGAGGCTACTGGAGGAGTTGCTTCGGCAAATGGCCAACGCAGCCCGGACAATAGGAAGTACGACGTTGGAAGAAAAATTCACCGAAGGTGGGTGTTGGTCTATCATTTTATGGGCGAATTTCCAAAGCCAAGAATGCCCTGTTGGTCCACTCAAACTCATATTCCATTGAATAATGGTCGTCGGTGGTCACATATCACACAAAACTGTGACTGACAGTCCTCAATTTATTTCGGTTTTGTAGTCTGCTGTGGGAAATTTTAACGGGACACGTCCCGTCCTCCGTCACTGCCCCCCAAAGGGAAACCACTCCTCTTCTTTTTGGCTACAATAGTATATTTTTTGGTGGGGGAGGGGTGTACAACCAAGCTATGCGGATTACAGTTTCTTTCGCCAACAGCACTGGTTAGTGGTTTGAATATCCTCGCATTCGTTGTACTGGCCTGAACGACTCAGTTTAGACAAGTTTCTAGTAAGCGATTGTCCCCTTTCATGTTGAGTTAGCCCAGCTTTCCGGCTGAATGCCGGAAATGCTATGCCGCAAATGGTCAGAGTTGGTAGAAGACTGGGTAATGTAGTAGGGTCGTTAGCGGTTTTCTCTCACACATACAGTATAACCGAGTATTGTCTTCGGGTAAGACACAGTCTACGCGATCCCGTCTGGTTAAGTGCGGTCATTGACGCTCGATAACTCAGCTAAACCGCTGAATCCGCTCATCCTCAATTGTCAGTATGAATCAGTGTTCAGCGGTTTTCTGGAGACCTCACTAACACTTCAGGGCCTACTTTGGAACTTGCTCGAAATGGCCCGATGGCTAGGGCACGAACTTACTGGCTGAAAGGTCCGTGGTTCGAATCCAACCCCGGGATCTCAACTGCTGCTATCCGGGGCATGGATACTATTGGTATCTCAGACCTCGTGCTTCCCTAGGGTGGTGTAACTAGTTGTTACGCCAGCCGAATGATAACGCCACGGAATACCTTGTGACAGCAGCTCAGGCGCTTTTGGAGTACGTAGTGTGTTGTCACTCCCAACTCAGCTCATAACGGACACGGGACCTGATTGTTCCATTTTGTCAAACTCCATAGGTGGTCGGAATACTTCGTCAGGCGGTGGAATATGTGGACTAAATATTATGTAAGCGCACAGCTTACACAAAAAAGTGCACTTGTGCGTGTGCTCAGCTTACAGCTTCTGGCTTGCATGGCAGATGCATTACTTAGGAGGCACTACCCATCTAACCGGTGCTTGACTCGTGGAGCACTCCCCCATCCATCGCAAACTCGCTGCTCTCAAGTACATTTTTGACGACAGATTAATGGTTGGTGCGACTTGATTGAAATCGGCTCTGCTGTTTCGGTGCAGTGACCCTTTGATGACTAGGCCGCACTTGGTAAATCACCCTGAAAGACTGAGCTGGGTTGGCTTGGCTTTTATCAACTAGGTTATTGCAGTTGTGCTGGTCGCATCTTTAGCTCCTCGAATGCAAGACAGGCACGCTCGGCTCTGGGTCGGAGTTGGTCGTACGGCCCACATAGTTTTTCATAATTCTCAAATAAAGGAACAGGGTAACACTGAAGAAACGCGTATCAGTAAGCTCTTTCGAAATTTTGTTGACGGATGTCAACCTAACATCATCAGTGCTCAATATTGTTGTTTTCTCGATTGGGGACGAAACATTTGCAAGCTAACTGCCGAGCTTGGCGAACAGACCGACGGCCAATTGATCAATCACCACCACCCGAGCTTCTACTAGTTCGACACCCAAGATTATATCGCTTTGAATAATCTTCAACTAGAGCCTGCTAGCTGATAACTTCGGTGGCTGTGTTGCCTTTTAAACAGGTACTGTATGCAGACAAGTTTCTTGGTGACTGGAATACACTCCTTCGTGTACACGCACTCACGCGCCTTTGACGAACACAAAAGTGGTTTTTTGGAGAGGTCTCATTCAGGGTTGATAACTTTCTTAACGCAGTGAGCATGTGTTTCGTCTCGCCTATGCATGTTCAGTCATATAATTAACTAGACACAGTAGGGTCTCTTGACACTTATCGCGTAGCCCTCTTTGAACACGGTTCGCAAGGAGCGTAGTTGCCCCTCTGTGATGATTTTCTTTGAGGAGAATGGTGGCCACATCAACTGTGTTCGAAATACCATTGGGAACCGGTGCAGATCAAATCGATTGAACGGAAACGCTTGAGTGATTATCCATACGACGCTTTCGGTAGCAGCTAGAAAATAGGCACCTATCTTAGTGAGTCTTTTACAATGGGCACTTGCGCCCATATGATGACGCAGCCGAATGAGGTGGTAAACTTCTGTCCCAAGCGAAGCGGCTGAACTGGATAGCGAATGTCTGTCTCAATGAATCAGTTCTACTGCCCGGGTTAACGTGCAAATATTAGATGGGATATCGTCGACTGGGCATTTTGGACCGTAGTGGCTCCTGTTTACGGTTTACCTCAAAAGCATAGTGAAAACGCGAGTAGTTTTGTGTGTGACATAACTCAAACTCACGTTCCGCTCAGCAGTTGACAAGTTCGAGTGTACTCTTGTTAGGCCTTGTCCGTTCGGATCTTCGTTAACTAACGCCTCAGAACAAGTACGTAGTAACATTACTCTGTCTTACTGTGTCTACATTAAAGAAGCGTGATATTGTCAACTACTAACAAAGCTCTCCTCTTCCACTCCATTTTTCTCCCTCCAGCAATTGAGAAGATCAAACGAGATATCGTATTTGCCGCTAGTCTGTATTTATAGCGACCCCCATTCCCTGTTTTTTGTGGATTGTACAGAGTTTAAACACTGTTTTGAAAAACAACCCCTTCTGTTCTATCCTGGTGTTTTCCCTCTTTGGCTGGTTCCCTCCTGAAACGAAACGAGTCCTGTTCAACATTTCTATACCAACACTGAAAGAATGCAGCTTGGCCACTAGTCAGATTTCAATATCAGGGTCACTCTCTCTCCGTGGAAAGTGTCGAAGGATCTGCGTTTCATTTGTCACACTTGCATTGTATGAAATAAGGAAATACCGTATCCCAACTGTCGTTTACCCTAGGATAATTAACAAATAATCGTCCAACTGTAGTGCCTTTTCGGCGCCAAACACATACCAGTCGAAAGAAGCCCGAGGGCCAGGTTGTCTAGACAGGAACCGTCAAGACGCGAGGATTCGGTTCGAACAACGGGCCGTCAGGTCAGTAAGTTTGTGGCTTAACCATCCATCCATTCCCAACGATGTCACTGTTTTTTTTCTTAATCACCATAACACAGCGCCTTACGGTTGTAATATTTCTGTGACAAGTAAATTATCAGTATAACGCTTTCTAAAACCAATTTCTAAGGTATCGCTTTTCTTTCACGGGTCATTTACATCGATTTCAAATTCCTAGAATCACTCGAAATCTCCGAAAAACAGAAATCTTACTTCGTTTTCAAAAAAGTTTGGTGACAATCGTTAGATTTATTGCTGGACAACGTTTCGTTTTTGACACAAAAGCTTCGTCAGGCCAAGTGACTAGGTTCCAAGGTTGGTCGAGATTTAAGGCAGAAGGAGATCCAATCAGCTAAGTCAACGTGAAACTCTGTTGGGTGTGATGGAACTCTTACTTGTTCACCAATAACAGTTCCGTCCGATTTACCGTCCAGCCGCTGATTGTGTTGAGAAAGGCTTGCTTAAAATATCACACTAATTTGCACTGTGGTCGATAAAATGACAGTCGAATCGTGCAAGAATAACCCGGTTCGGCGTTTAGTTCATTTCAAGTTGTTTGTTATTCATATTTGGGACGACTTACACCAGTGGATCCAGATTTTCGAATAGGCTCTGTGAAGAATCGTTGAAGAAAGACGAGTTAAGTTTTCATGACAGCACAGAATATTCATAAGGTTGCCGGAAACAATTTGGCAACCCACAACCTGCTTTGCCCTCATCTTGTCGGCGTAGTCTCAGAGTTTCTTCCAAACCCGTGTCTTACGTGAACCCAAGTTGTACGCATTCCGCGAACTGCCCTGGTTTTGATGGGACTCAGTCGAATATAAGCTTGGAAACGGCTTGGGTTCAGTTGAGTCTCTCGTTTAAACCCATTTAGTTCGCAAATGAATGTATTTCAGGAGCGAAGTTAATCTCGATACCCATCCACCATTTCTGCTGTGCTTATTGGAGGTTGAGATGACTTTTTAATGCATCGCTCAAGGTATCGGCTTCCGGACCGGGAGAAGTAGCTACTGCTACTTCGGAACTACTCGGTCTTAGAAAGGTGAATTTTCGTGGTGTCCGTTTTTTCCAAGCTATGTTTGTGTCTTTTCATTGGGTTTGTGGGATTAACCGATGTATTTAATCAATTGAGACGGTGTGGCTTGAACAACGACATCCGGAGCGGTGTCGACAAGCAGGGAACCAGGGCAAGAACCCCAAGGAGATCGAATTACTCATGAGTAGGTGGATTTCGAGATTAAAATTAGCGACATTGCGATGTTGTGGGCAAGTTTGGTCTATGTTGGGACAGCAAAACCTAATGTACTTGAAACTTACAGTTTAGGGAACCAGAATGAAGAAGGAAAGTAACTCCGGTCAATAGCGTTACGGGGCAGCATTGGTTCTACTGGCCATCCCCGGTATCCATTGTAACGCTCAACTGGTGTGGTTAGCTTCCGCTTCCCAGACGATCACTGCTTAGGTTCCAGATATGGAAGGTCGGGATTGAGTCTAAATGGCTGTGGTGAAAAACCTTAAGAATACTATTGCTAAGTCACTATCTACAGGACCTTTCAGAAGTGTTAGTATGTTCTCCTTAAACCAGTGTCACCTGAGTGTGGTTTGGTGCCCAACGGCGGCAGCTCACCTAACTGGTTATGGGGGGTGTTGTCCAACGAAATGCCATCCCATTGTCAGATGAAGCAATGAATTTCAGCAACAAAACTGGCTGTCTAAGCTATTCATGAGTAGACAAAACCTGCATCGCTTTAATACTCCCCGCCTGATGTCAGTTTTGTTTGAAAGACGCGACACGTAGCTAGTTTCCCTCGGGCGCAGGTCAGCCTACGGATCACCGATTGTCTTTTGGATGAACCGCTTCACCGAATCTAAGCTTCTATGTCTTGTGTGGTGTGTCACCGGCCTCTAAGTCTGATGACCGTAGGGAGAATTCGGTTACTGGATCTGTTTCTCCCTGATTCCATGCGCCTGTTTTACCCCTTATCCGGGTCACAGACTAAATACTTGGATCAGCGTTTTCCAAAACAGATGCTCAAATTCACAAGAAATTCCCCATTTGCGGTGCCTGTTTGGCACACATAGTGTTAAGATAATTTCACTAGAAATGTTTGTGTAGCAGTCCTGCTCTCCCTATACGTAGTTCAGGCAGTGGAGCACACCAAACATGTCTATCTTATTCTTTGATCGAGGTACTACGCACAGGGGCACACCAAGTAGATATGATATAAGTAGTAGAAATTCAGTGATTCTTCAGGTGATTCACAACTTGAAGTGGGAAAATATACTACTCTGGCGATTTCGGATTCTGAATTTAATCGATGGAACCCAAGTTTTGTCTGTCATCTTTCCAGGGTTTCATTTGACAAGCAGTCGTTGTGTAGTCATCAGCTGCCCGTATATTTGGTCAATGCACTGAATGTCCCCAGCTATTTGAATACGCACAAACGATCGAATAATCCGGCCATCATACTCACTAATACTTCACTTTTCAGTGTACTTTTCGTTTTGTACCTAACTAGGAAATGGAATTAGTTGGTAAAGTCTAGTTAGGGGATACGATGGTGGAGGACACATTAATCTGGATTGGAACGGCCGACTGAGCGGAACAGATATTTTCGAGACTCGCAGTTTACGGAGCACGTACTTTCTGGGCTGACAAGACCGAGAGGTCCGTGGTTCGAACCCGACCTCTGCCATTCGACTTCCCCTGTCTAGGCATGGGCGACCTGGCAGTATCTCAGCCCTCGTGCTTCCTCCGGGTGGCATGGCAGCTAGGCACCGGAAGGTTGTTACAGCTGAATGATATATTCGTAAGCACATGGCTATCATGCAACTAGCAAATGACCTGTATGCATATTTTAAACGGTCGGTGTGTATTTTCGTAGAAATATGTCTGTGAAATTTGCCGTTCGTTATTTTGCCATCTAGTTGTTGTATACACTGTCACCATCTCAATATTCAGCTAATCGAATGTTTTTACTGAAATTCGGAAAGCCCGTTTGCAAAACGGTCAGCGTTTTTAGGACCGTGAATATTTAAACAGAAACCCAGAATTCAGTCCGAACTTCAGCATCTAAGCTTTGAATTCACAATGCTTCTGTTAATGAGGAAGCTCCCGTGGGTGCATTATTGGAGGGTACCCTAAAGCATGCTTGAATCATGAAAACAACAAGGTTTGTCCAATCCTCAGGCATACACGGCATCAAAATCCTGACCGGCAGAGACATGTAGACATTGAGGTCAAACCGGAAGTTGCGGTGTCACGTGTCTGATACATCGAATAAAGCCTTTTTAAGTGAGCTATTTATTTTAAAATATTCTGCGAAAGTAGCTTGAATGATGCTAGACTGAGACACTCGTAATTTTATCGTGGTTCCATCGTGAAATACACTCGTTTGTTCGCAAGTCTGGTTTTCATGGAAGACTCAACTCAGTCTGTCACTTATAATGTTATTCCGCTGAGCGCGCTGCACAGTACCGCCGCATGTTTCATACGGTAAGATATTCGAGATATCGCAGTACATTGTTGTGCAGACGTAACACACTGTCCATAAGGTTGCTGAAAATTTTTCGAGAGTCCACGATCTGTTCCGCCCTTTTTGGGACTCACCAACTTGGCAGTTTCCGTCAACCTAATGTTTTACGTGAACCCAAATGACACGAAATTAGCGAATTACAAAACAAACAAAAACCGGTATTGGACAACGAAAGTGATCTGCTAAAGGTTAGCGTAGGGTAGCTGACTGACGCCAACAGAGATGAGCACACGCGCAGTCTGGTTTTACAGCTTCCATTCTGAATACTCGCAAAGCTCGGGACTAGCAGATCAGTCACTTCATTCAAGAACAAAGTGGTACGATAAGCTCAACTTTTTTACACCATCACTTAAACCACAAGGTGTGGATCTGGAAGTCAGCACCTCCGAATAACGTATCTCAGAAAAATAACAACATTGAAGTGAACCTTTTGTACACCAACTTACAAACTCAAATTATTCATGGTGTATGGGTAACAGTCGCGTTTGATCTTATATATGAGGATGCTAATGTGGAGGAAACTACCGGACACCGGTTTTTAGTATTTCCTTTGATTACAATGAGAATATTCTTCGAATGATAGTTACAGACTTGACCGCATTCAAGCTTCCGAGAAACCTGTCTTCAAAATTCGACATCAGTAAAAACACTTGTCATGGATCCTTGTATACGTTCGTTTCCATCTAAAAAATATCCCCAAGACATTGAAATATCCTACTTCAAACTATTCTAATTTGAGCATTTTTTCCCCACCATGGCACAATTATTCTGATGAGTGCGCAACAAGGAACAAAAGTACTGGACTCGGGTTCCGCTATTATTGTTCATTAGTAGTGTATATCCTTGAGGGTTCGAAAATTGGGCATCTGGCATGCGAGATGAGCATTTTACCGTCAGCTCACCAGCGCACGCTGTATGTGGATTGACAAGTGTGGACAATTTATGGTTAGACGTAGCTGGTTGCATCCGTCCTGCGAACGGATCAGTCAATCGTCACCACCAAGAGTTATTAGGTCGACGTCTTGTCGCTCAAGAGTAAACAAGTTTGCGCGTTAAGATACGATAACGCAGGTGGAAATAACGTGCGCTGTTAAAGTAGTCGTAGCACACTAGCCTCGCATGTCAGATTTCCAGAGTTCAAACTCCTGTATGGCCAAGGATATGCAGGGATCTAATGAAAGCTAAACTCTGGTCCAGTACTTCTTTCCTTTGGCGTGGACTCATCAGAGTAATTGCTGTAGGACTGGAGGATACTGTGTGATCTGAACGTGCATTCTACGTATGCCACAACTTACAACCATATTGCGATTTCAGATCAATCTATGAAAAAGGTGAGTATTTTTGTCGTACGCTTCAAGGTAAGTTCTTAAAAAACCGCTATTCAGCTTGTAACCAACGTTACCTATTTCCAAGCATCTTTGCCAGCTAGTGAAAGTACTATCGCAAAGGCTTTTCAGTTCGCCACTCAAATACGTAAAAAAATTGCTCGAAAACACGTTGCAGAGAAGTCGCGATGTAATCCAAGTAGTACTTTATATCACGTTATGGTGGTTCAAAATTGCCTACGTGACGCAGTAAGGTGTGCGTGGTAAAGCACAACGTGCATACGAGCTCGTGGTAAGCAGACGGATCAAAACAGCATAACATTTGCAGACAGAAATGCAAACCACTGTTTGCGCGATAGCTCTTGGCGTACGGACTTCTTGGGTAATCTGACTAAATTACAGTTCACAAAATCGGAAACGGTATGCTTCGACGATACATTGCCTAGATTCTCCCAGTCAACGGCGAGATATCTCGATCCCTGACCGACGTTAAGAAATGTCTTTCGAAGTAGATACGTAGGCAAACCGAAATTATTCGCACAGTTCATCCATCAGGTTCCTCATAAATGTACCGAATTTTCAGCTCTGTCGAACCCACAACGTATACTGATAGGGGCCTCGTTTGCCACTATTTATGCTAATTTCAGAATCAGTTATTTCCTGGGATTCAGTAGTCTTTGCGCCTGTCGATAATCCACGCCGAAACCGCTGCAATAAGCCGGGGTATTAAGGCTGAATTACTAACCTATTTAGTCACTGCTGGCTGATTGGAGCAAGAGTTTACGATAGGTTCGCCGGGAATCCTGCCAGGCGCGCTGTTTAAAGTCAACTTCCATCCTCACATCACCAACGCATTGCCTAGTGTGACGCACAACTTTGGCAACACTCGAGGTTCTGTGTGTTGGGCACACAAGCCCCGGTCTTGGGGAGTCTAACAAGGACACCAACCACTAACGGCTAGACGATGCCCACGCACGACCGATCCAATCACGGAACTCAGCACTTACACCAGTGTTGAATGGACAGAAACTCTCTGGTCCGGAACTCAGCACCTACACCAGTGTTGAATGGACAGAAACTCTCCGTGTTTTGGCTGCCTTGCCGAAAACAGTTTACAACGCGAAAGGCTGTTTCGATGTGCACTTACGCATAAAATCGCCTTTTGAAGTCTTCACCACATCATTTTCGTCATCCAGTTGTTTTACAAAATCACTGGTGTTACAGGTTACCTAGCCACCGTTTTTTCAGGAAAGCTGCAATTGCCTGGACAACCTCTAATTTCAGAACTCATATGCTAAGGAAGCATTACAATCATTTTCATAAAGACGGACGAGTTTGGAACCTGATGAAAAATCGACTTCGGTGTCTTAACAGATGGTATGTGACAGGAAGTGATTGCGATCATATGATTACACGCGTTATCAAACGCACCTGTACGTGTCCAACGGATGTTGCGCTGTGCGTTACCTGACCACGTACTTTTCCGCTATCGATTAGCGGCACAGTTGTATGGTTTCGTCAGTATTTACACGCTCTCGTGGCTTGAAAACGCTTGTCCCTGGTCCCCCCAAAGGCTGATGATTGACCGGTGCAGAGAGTGGATATTGCCTGAAAATTTCGAATAACGAAAGCGCCTAGTAAATATAATGCCTTAGCGATAAACTCCTTTCGGTGCCTAGCACGAAGGAAGACATACCGCCAACTTGCCAAAGCCTAAACAGGAGCAGTTGAGATTCAAAGGTTGGTTTCAAGCAACGGACCTTACGGTCAGTGAGCTTTCTCGTGCTCATCAAAACGCCTATCTTCGGCAAAATCAACCAATATGATCCTAGACATTTCACATCAGTTGGGAAGATTATTTGCAGATCCGACAATAAGCCTTGACGAAGATCAGTATGGAAAGGACACAGCGATGTGAGGCGAATAAAAGAGACAACAAATATATGAATGCAACCGGCGGAGAACAGAAGTCCTTCTCTGCGAAAAGTTGGAGGTTAAACTCTACTACAGATAGCCTGGATATCGGTGTATCAAGCGTTACCAGAGTGGGTTACATCTAGCTATTTCACAGAAATTCTGGTGAGAGTGACAACTAGGGGTTGAGGACCACTGAACAGATCACTGTAATCATGACCGAAATTGAGGAAAAAAAATTGCCTTGTCATTTCGGGACAGTAGGAGTGAGAAGGCATTTGCCCGACGACTTGATAACTTCATGCACGCGAACATGGCTTCAGTCACGTAATAGTGATAAACAGTAGCTGTGCACTTCTTGCAAAACAATTAGGGTTTTATACCCCTGAAGTGAGTGGAGGAACGTATTGACACACCTATTTTCAAGGAAGGCCACTTCGGAAGTACGGCTTTCAGGATCGATGCAACGAATGCATTCCGAAGCGATCACTGAAGTTAACGGTCGAAAATAATCATTCTGGTTGGGTACAAATTAGAATTTATTGTAGACCGGCGGTTGTCCTAATGTGACCTTAGCACCCACTCTACCATTTTTATAATGGAAGTGTAAATATGGTCATGATGGGGGGAATCTTAGTTGCTACTACTAAGAAGATTGGGGCTTCTCGTTTGAAGGTCAGAAGAGAGATAATTTTCAGGAAGACCTAAAAGGGCCACATAGTCGTTTCTACTGTAAAGTGTAAACTCTTCAGTTGGGCTAGCGACAATGCGTAATTTTTTTCGTGCAAACGCGATTTGGGAGCCGCCTGTATGACTAACATGGGTAAAAAACAGGACAGTGTATCTGCCATAGTATTCCCCGGCATCCATATTGTAGCATAGATTATGTACATCATACGATAGAGAAATGAGTAGGACCAATCAAGTATCTTGAGCAGTGATTACAAATTTGATGTGCGGCGAACCAAGGCTGAACCATCATCATCACCAACATAGGCAGCAACACCAGATGAGGACACTTGGGCTTCAATGCTATACTGGAGTGTCGGTGGCCGTGGCGGCCGAGTCAGCTGCAGCTAGTGACACTCGGCGGCGGAGATTCAGCTGGGTTCCAAATGAGTCACCCATCAAAAACCAAAACGATATGCAAATGAGTGTATTTTTGGGAATCTGTCAGTTCTTAGGAATCGGTCTGTGAATATGTCGCTGGAAACGGGGTGATGAGGGGAGAAGAGCGAATACGTGAAAGGGGAAGCAGTAGCCTGTTTCCGCTTACCTGTCCTAGGAAGCAAAGACGGCGATCAGGCTAATGGTACCACGCGACAAGCGACGTGCAATGAAAGCATTTGTAAGCGTGTAATTCATGGTTGTACATAAGCCGGGATACTTCAGAGTGCCTACACTTAGACAGGAGGACGATTAGGGTCCTCGACCAAAGCCTTTGGTCAAAAGCCTGACCGCAAGGCAGCAGTGATTAGTGTCAAAACAGCCTGCATTTTTAGAAGACAGTCCGCCGTTCTGACCCCAGCCTATGGTACCCCAAGCCATTGACCGACCTGATATGAGGCACTGTAAATGTCACGCGTACACTCCAGCAGACCCGGGGGTTTATCAAGGCGCGCAAACCGTCACAGCATGGTAAGTTCCTTCCGGCCACAAACAACCAGTCGTCTAGTTCATTTTGGGACGAGATGGCTCAAGTGCTTCGAGCGCGAATTTACTGCCTGGAAGGTAAGTGGTTGGAACCCGACTTCTGCCACTCGACTTCCCCTGTCTAGGCTTGGAGGGTGTTCAGCTTAACCAACTTTTTTTCATTCCCTTTTGGCATCCACGATATCTCTTCTACGTGTGTCCAATCGATGTCTTTCTTCATAATCTCTATTGCCTGATCATATTACACTACTGATCCCGCAGCCTGCGAGAAATGACCGCTTTTCGTCCTTAAAAGTCCATTACCTCCCGTATATCGAAATAATTACAGCAGTTCTTGTCCCTAAACGGTGCTCTGATTGGCAACATTCGGCAGTGCCAGCGAAAAGCTTGGATCAGCACTGCCAAATATAATGTTGACTGTTTGTCTATGATCTACGCTTGCGGGAGCTAGAATTGAATCAACAAAAAATTCAGCTCAACTTCACAGGGCTAGCTGAAGTACGGCCTGTCAGACTTTTCTACTTTTTATTCGGTCTTAATTTTCGTTCCATTATTTAAAACGAGTCCTCCGGACTCGGTTTTCCAAGCAACCAAACGATTTTGAGCAATGTTAAAACTCGGCAGTCCTTACATCAGTCATCTTCTTTGCTTTTATTTCCTGACATCGCTTCCTACCCCCCGTGATTTTCTGGTTTTTTGAGAGCGCGACCCGCTGGGCTTACAAGTTTACAACCTTGATGGAGGACGGTTAGTTACCTATTCACTCTACGGTCGGTTCAAGACACGAAGAGGCTAATCTCTTGGACTCTTGAACCAATAAGGCATTTAAGAAGAGTAAAGCATACACTATTACCAATACACGGCACTGAAAATCTTAAATAAAATTTAAAAAAATCGGAGGGGCTAAGTCAGCAACAGTCAGATAAGGCAGTTCGAAGATTCGCTAGGCAAATACGGTACAACGATCCCTTGGAAACTAGTGAAGTCGTGTTCAAACACGTATCAAATTGAGAGCACGTGAAAGACATCTAGTGAGATGTGCATCATCGGTGCTCTTCAACAATCATCTTCCCTTGAGCATCGTATTTGAAGAATCCATGGCGCGTCTTCTTTCCCAAACGTCCTTCAGCGACCAGATGATGTAGCATATTTGGGCACATAAAGGTGGGATCATCAGACATCTGATCTGTTAGACTTTCGCAAATATATTTGAGCGTGTCTAATCCAATAAAGTCGCACAACTCAAATGGACCCATCGGGTGTGAGGCACCCAGCTTCATGCCAACGTCCACGTCGTGTGGATTTGCAAAACCGCGCTCCACCATCCGAATCGAGTCTAGCAGATAAGGCAACAGAAGGCGATTGACAATGTAGCCCGGTGTGTCTTGACACGCAATGGGGACTTTGTCCAACGAGCGGACGAATTCAACCAATAACTGTAAAATTGACAAGACAAGATATACATATACATAAAGAGGAACCGAATCAATGCCAACATCCTTCCGGAATTTCGAATACAGCTCTGTGCTAATATGCCCGCTGGTTTTCACCAGTGGATGAACTTCGTCAACACAACTTGACTCAAAAATTAGTTACTAAAAAGTGGAGTTGTTATGGAATACACACTCGTTCTTTGATTGGGTGATGAGGTGTACAACCCCGTATTTATACCAGCTTCGTATTACTCGCTTTTCAGGTTCGCAACCGTCAGTTGGGAGCTGAGTCGGTCTCTAAGGTTCCGGAATCTCGCGTCACTGTGTATGCTACATTGTGCACTTGGAATGCGACTGTATCAAACCCATTCATATCTGAACTACTGCTCGCTATCCACCGCTGTTGGCTGAACAGCACTCAGTCATGCCAGTGCTCAATGTCAATTACGCAGATGATGTGATGAAAAAACTCAAAAAGTGGGAGCAGTTTCAATAGTTGCTGTTCCCTAAAAACACGTTAGATCAAGACACGGTGGTTGTGCTCCAAAAAGCGATTCTTGTATAGAAGAACGATTTCCTGCGATTTCGCTTTTTTCACTGAATGCAAGGACTACGATGACCCGATGAACTCCAAAAATAATAAACCGGTATTGAGCTGTTGAAGAGTTTTCATCAACCTGACGGGTTCACGCTCGTTTTATGGGTGGCATACTTTGGGGATGTCTAGTTCAAAGCATGAGGAATCCTGCCGAAGTCTTGTATACCTAGCCTAAACCGAGAGGCAGGAGAGCGAATTATAAAGGCCATGAAATTCTGGAAGCTGGTGACTAATACCAGTTCGAGCACTCTGTCGTAGTCAAACATCCACGAGTCCCAGAGCACTTGCGGTAGACGTCAGCCGATGAACGCTGAGTATGTCAGATTTTGAACCGCGGTCTTAGGCCGCTAGATACTTTAGATATTGACAATACATGTCTCGGAATTAAGTTTAACCTCTGAGAGAGAGACAAAAATCGTCTGCCAGCCGACGCTAAAGCATCAAATCTTAAACCTTCGCATGGAAGTGTTCTTTCCTCTAGTAAGGTTTAAGACATACTCACCATCGCTTTAACTCTCTTCTCCCTTTTGTCATTCAAAGTAACATTTACCTGTTAACACCTTCCTGACCCGAAGACTTACACAGATAAGTCATTCTCGTCTCAGTTTTTGTAAACTTGTGTTCTACGGTTCTAAGTGGTTTGGTTACCTTTTGTTCTGCTGCTGATCCTAGGCTATGCTCACTCTATATTCTCCTGTGATCCATTTGCCTGAGTGCAAGTATCTGTCATCTAGAACCACCGTGCAGTCTGTACACGCTTCAAAGTCGATGATGAACACGCTCATGATAATTGCCGAAACGATGGTGTGATTTCGGTGATAATGCAACGGAATCCGAATGAACGAAGCCTGACTCTAGACGCGCCCACCTGGAATGTAACTTCCGACGTATGCGTCGTCCGAACAACCTCTACGAGACGCAGAACCGGAGCGGGTTGGAAAAAGTGCAATCCACCGAAACGTTCCTGGTCCGAAAGCACGCTACTGATTTGACGCAACGACAGAGACGATGTGTTTGAAACGAGCAGGCATTCTGGGGAGGCATGTTTTTCCAATTCACTGTCGATGAAAGAAAAGGGGTCTGATTGATACGCTGTAGCGAACGATTGCCCCTAAACAAACACACTGAGTACTATATCACAATAAACAAGTCACAAGTCTGATACAGCAGTGAAGCATCCAGCAACTGAGCATCTCGCAGGGTCAATTTTCCAGCGGATTCCCATAAATACCCAACTGGAATGGCAACAAAAGGTAACCATGATGTCAGTGTTTGTTCTACGCCTACCAGCCGTCAACGCATTACTGCATGATAACATCAATGAAAATGACAAACAACAAACTAACAGAAACAGGGAGGCCGTAATCAATACCAAAGTCGACTGATGTGTTGACTCAACCGTTCCACCGCGCACAAGACAGGTTATTTCAAGCCGACCATTGCTGCTTTACCAAACGGTGTCTGAATGCGTGATACTACAGTGGACGGCTGAATAGGGCCAACTAAATTACCTGTAGTCAGGTGTTATGCTAACCATAAAGCTGTGCTCTAGGTAAATGAGCAAGTCTCCTGATTATTGCCTCAAACACTTTGAAGTGTCTAGGAAGTGCACACTGAATACGTGGCTCAAAAGCGTTACAGAGAACAGGATTGCTTACCAAACCAGTATGGCGTCAAGCGAGTGGAAAACACGGACAAACGAAAGTGAGTAGGTTCGACTGGAGGGATTAGGGCAAACTGGGAGAAACACCCCACAAGATGTTTGTGGCATGAGATAACTCCCACATATCCGGTTGTCAAGTCGGCAGATCTCACTCGCTCCCGTCCGAACAGCCAACTCAGTCCCCAAACAGAGGGTAAACCTAAGCTACCCACGCTTATCTGATATTCACTACCACGCATGTCGTCTAAAGCACAATCTTTTTCGCAGTCACACAACAAAGGAGCACGCACTGTAGTCTGGTATATGCATTCTTTGAGACTCTGTAAGTCTTTTGATGCAACAAGTGGCGCATATTGGCGAACGCAGTTCTAGTCTTTGGGATATGTACGTTGACTCTGTCTGTTATATTGCCATCAGAGCTAATCCAACTCTCGAGATATGTACAGCGTTCAACAACCTCCAGGATCACTCCATGAATTCTCAAAAGCTTAGTAAAAGACTGCAAGTCGCACAACATGAGTTTGCACTTAGTGAACACGAAGCACATGCCGATGGATTCGATGACTTTAGTTGGATTTTTAATCAATGTTTGTGTTTTTATTTTTTTTGCAAAAATTGAGAATATGCATTCATCTCGAACGCTGGTGCCCGCAGAAAAGGTTTTGGCGAGGTCTCTATTCACTCCTACGCACCTACAGGCATTTAGATACAAATAGTATATGATATTCATCAATTTCTCAGCCATATCTCTCTACAGGAACGTGTTGGGAACAAAGAATTGGTCGGTGGAATCCAAGGCGGCCTTGAAGCCAAGGAGGATTAAAATTAATATAAAAAATAATCGTTCAGCTGTAACACTCTTCCGGTGCCTAGCTGCCATGCCACCCGGAGGAAGCCCAGGCCTAGACGGGGGAAGCCGAGTTGCAGAGGTCGGGTTCGAACCACAGACCTTGAGGTCAGTAAATTCGCACTCTAACCATTTGGGCCATCTCGCCCCACATCAAAATTGCAGGGCGTCCATGTTCATCCTGTTGTTCTAAAACTCGACGGAGTGTGAACATGTGGTCCACAAAATCCCTTTCCATCCAGAATCCTGCTTGATTTTCATGATGAACCGGCAGGTTGTTGTATTTTCGTTTACGTGTATGTAAGCACCAGTAACACAACTCCAGTGCTAACCCTCGTTGGTGCGAATTCACCACAATAATTGCACCCGGACACACGGGACGTTGGTCAAACGAACGAGGTGAGTGTGAACTTCTACAAAGCGCGCAACCATTTACAGCTAAACAAAATTCCAAGCCTACATAAAACTACCTGATTGGGGATCCCTGACATAAATTTGTCTTGGAAAATCCCAAATTCCCTTTAACCACGTAGCAGGGGGTGGACGGCTAGCTACTCATCCTTGTCAACGCGTCAATATACGGCGGTTAGAGGCAACGAACAATGAGAGTTTAACCGGTCCCCGTTGGAAATCTACCAGGACATAGTGGTGGAATTTAACAAACAAAATAATAACTAACCGTTCAGCTGTGGCACATTCTCAGTGCCTAGAAGCCGTGCTACCTGAAGAAAGCACAAGGGTCCAGAAACTGCCGTGTATCCAAGCCTAGACAGGAACACTCGGGGTGCCAGTGGCTCGAACCAGTAAGCCCACACTTTAACCGAGGTATCTTGCCCAGGCCGAAATGCAGTGTGCGAATTCCAACTCAGCAGTGCCACCATGATTCCTGATGCGGTCCCTCTGGAGGGTTCATAACCATTATGTTTGAAATTAACCATACGTGCCCACCTATTGTGTGCACTTCTCTGATAGCTTGTGACAACTTGAATGATTGACCTGGGTATTCCAAATCAGAGTAATTCAGTGCTCCCATGAGCCAGATACACCCCAAAGGTTACCTACGCCCAATTATGACAACGTGCCGAGTTATACAGCAACTACCCTGATGCGTATTTCATTCATAATTCTGATCGGCATATCAGAAATTAGATTTGCAACGGTCACACTGGAAAGTACTGGCTATTGTCTTTGGTCTCCAAATTAAACCGACGAGACATTGAGAACCACAATTATTGACAGCTACTGCACACGGACCCGTGATGCATATGTATCACCTGGATGGACTTAATGAAGAAATGGAAAACAGCGTAGGCGAAAGTATAGGGGACTAGCTCCAACGAAAACCTCATGAAAAGAAAAATCAAAACTTTGTAGTCAGGTTCGTTCCTCTACCCCCGGAAAACCCTATGATCCAATATAACACATCCTACGGAAAATCGAAAAGAGGAAGAGCAATCGCAATCGATCGCTCCCCGAGACCCCATACCAATGACTTACAAGCTGTTGAACGCAGCGTTCTTAGCACACGACATGATCGACCCATCATTTCATACGCAAAACAGGAACAGCAAAAACACGATCCTGCGTAATGAAGGAATAATCCCATATAGAATGCTTCAATAGGGGACCACTCTTTCGAGGGTTTTATTCCTTCGCTGGATATCGTACACTACCTATTAGCCGGCAAAAAACACAAATCAGAGCACCAAATATTCTACGTATTTTCTTATGCTGATACTTAAATCCGGTTTCATTGATTCTTGAATAAGGATTCGAAATTTTGGACTGCACCAGGAACTGGCACAAGCTTATGGTGCATACTGAACTCAGCAAACTCAAGCCAATTGAAAGGCTGTTTGCAATAGCTACCAGTTTAGTGGTCAGTTTGGTTAACTGTTAAAAGGGAGAGAGATGACGGCAAATCAGCACATATATTGGGAGAGACCAACGTCGCGAGCGGCCTTCATTAGTAGCCACCTCAAAGCTTAGTAAGGGAGTGTTGACTAGATTCCATTCTTGTGGGATGGTGTACGTGTGGATACCTCAACACAAACCGTCCACGACAAATAAAGCTGCAAGCTCAAATCTGTCCAACAAACTAAGAATACAAGGCTGAGTGTACGGGACGAGTTCATTGGTGACGAACGAATTGAACTCATTCCATTATGCATGCACACACACCTATGAAAAAAATCGCTCAGCCGTAGCACCCTTCCGGTGCCTAGCTGCCATGCCACCCGGAGGAAGCACGAGGGCTGGGATACTGCCAGGTTGCCCAAGCCTAGACAGGGGAAGTCGAGTGCCAAATGTCGGGTTCGAACGACGGACCTTCCGGTCGGTAAACTCGCGCTCTAACCACTTGGGCTATCTCGCACCCTATGAATAGCACCGTAATTGTGGGTGCACGTAGAACACGTTTTGCATGAGAACAGAACATCTACTAGGTGCGTGCATGACAACCGGAATTGACATTTCGATAAGCATAGGATGTCCGTAAGTTCGTTGCCAATACAACGGCGGGATACACATCTACACGAACCGACCATTCACTCGACTGACTTCGTTCCAGAGCTTCAAGCAATAGTTCAGTGGTTTCGAGGAGCTATATCGTCCTCTTGAGGAATTCTGCCCAAACTCTCAGTTACACCCTGCAGTGACTTCACTGCATTGCACATCAACCCTATGGAGCTTGTTTGCGAGCACGAGGAACTTTATAGAACAAGGTCAGAAAACAAAACGAAGTTTTTGCGAAGCCTACCTGAAACGCATTCGCTCGTGTTGCTTCACAAATTAATGCTAAAATAAGTTCGCGAAACCAGTGTCTTAGGCTTCATGAGAGATGACCCGTGAATAGACGTAAAAGAGGGCAGGATGGCTCAGTGGATAGAGCGCAAATTTACTGACCGGAAGGTCCGTGGCTCAAACTCAGCTTCTACCACTCGACTACCCCTGTCTAGGCTTGAGCAACTTGGCTGTATCCCAGCCCTTGTGCTTTCTTGGGGTGACATAGCAGCCAGGCACCGAGAGGATGTTACAGCTTAACCATTTTTAATAGTTGTACAAGGATTTTCCCCGAAAAACGGCGTCTAACGAGAATAAAGTTAAAAACCCATAAATACAAGCCAAATATGAATGGACGTACAGAAAAAGGGATTGTTTGGCGGGCAATTTTTCCACGATCGCTTCAATGACGAGATCGGCTCCATGGACGGCCTCCTTGATGCAGGTGTATGTTCCCAAATTGGCCAAACAAGAGTCAACGAAAGATGCGGCTGAAGACTCGTCATTGGGGTACTTCTTCTTGGCAAAACGATGCGCATTCTGGCGAATCGCATCGACAGACTTTGAAAGGACCGATTGATCCAAATCAATCAAGTTTACTGCGTAACCATTCTGGACACAAACTTGAGCGATTCCCGTACCCATGAGCCCGCCACCGACAACTGAGACGTACTTCAAACCTCGGAAACTGTTGGTGAAATTCCCCACACGCGGTAAAACAGTACGTGCGACTGATTGTATCATTAGCACGGCTGAAGTTGAATTAAGAAGAACGGGGTTATCATTTCCCATGACATCCACTTCTCTAGATAAAAGTCACGGTGTTACAGTTCCAGAAGGAAATGTTTTGAGCGCTGATCGCCAGTTTGGTTACCGTTTGTGGAATACAGAAGTCGACCATCTCTCTAGAGAAAGACTAATCGAGCCGTTCTTCCACATCAACGTTGCATAACGATCAGGAACGAAATTTTGAAAGAAAACAAAATTCTCCCAAGCCTATTTGGAGTAGCTCACACCAAGCTAAGAAACCCACAAACAGTGTGTCGACGATGCAACACATTTCCATCTCTAACTTCAAATGTCTTGATCGTACGTGGTGACGAATCATGTTTCACAGCTTCATCACACGTGCGATCGTTACCAGCTTAACCACGTCCACCAATGCAGTCAACAAAATGCGTGCCTCCGTGCTGCATATGGAGTGATTTTCGAAACCTCAAAGCATATTACCTCGACAGCTAGGGGGTAAACAAATATGTTCAAACTTAGCAGCCACCAACCTTCATTGGTGGTAAAGCAAACAGGAAAACAGGATAGGGGGCTAGGTTTTCACCAGAAAAACGCAATGTGAGAAAAAAATGGAATTTTTTGCTATAAGGAGTCTCGGAAAAGCAAGCCTGGGAACAGGGGAATCGTAAATTGTCGCCTTTGATCTCAGTGATATTGTGAGGCCTAACTTCAGCTTGTGAAAAGCAAACAAAATAACACCAGACATAAGTCCTACCGAATGCGATGCATTGACCACATCTTCTCAATACGTCAACATCTTGAGCCTAACGTCGGTCCGCCATAAAGGGCGGCAGGGGGGCGAACAATCAATCAAATTATCAGCTATATATCGTGTGCCATAGTCACATTGGTTCCAGCTGCTACAGTTCCGATCACCGGAAAACGGGAAAATGGAATACAAAATTAAGCCTTGGAGGCGAAGGCATGTTCAGTTTGTTCGGAGATCGGGTAGCTACGCAGTGAAGACGATAGCCTTTTAATGAATGAGCGCCACTGACTGCGCAGTCCTGGCAATGTCACTAACCACTGGCGATTCGAGTCCCGGCGTTCCGATACAAGGAGATGGCAGTTTACCAAGTTTACTGGTTGGTGTTTTCGTAATTCGTTGCCAGGTCATACACTGTTCACCTCTCGGTCGCTTCCTTTCAGCACATAACTTGGAGAAAAGACTTGTGCAAGGTAGGCGTGTTTCTGAAATGCGGCGTGCACGCCCTAACCTGAGTAACCTATGAAGCATGAATAATTCATCATCATCATCATCATCATCATCATCATCATCATCATCATCATCATCATCATCATCATCACCATCATCATCATCGTGGCTTTTCTGGCTGACCTCAACGATATCGAACCTTCATTTAGTTGGGTCGGCTGGTTTGGATAGACAGTCGCAAAAGCTGACAGCATAACTTTTTTATTTAACCGAGTCGCTCAGTTGTAAAATTCCTTCGGCGCCTAGCTGCCAGTGGTTAGGAAGCGAATTTAATGACTGGAAGGTCCAACATCTGCATCTTGGCTGCTTCTGTCTAGATTTCGGCGACTTGGCAGTATCTCAACTCTCCTTTAGGTGGAACGGCTGACAGGCTCTGGAATGGTGTTGCATCTGGACCTATTATCATCCTTATTCTTATTAGTGATGTTATTACACAAAAGCCCGTCGGAAGTGGTGTACTCAGTTACCCTGCTCTGGCATGCGTAATGCCGACGGACATATGAGTGAAAACTGTCATGATTTCTGTGTGCTTATTCTTATACTTACCACATATACTCGTACTGAACCTTTGTATGTACATTTCAGCTCATGTACGCTTGTTCTTAGACAAGTAAAACGTTGCTTATCCTCGAAAACCTGGACTCTGTTCTAACTCGTTCTCGGACTCACTCCAAACGTCTCAAAAACCGAGCCCGAAAAATGGCACGAGTAAAGTTGAGTGCCCCGGAATAAACGGTAATATTTAACTGAAGCTCTCCCTCGGGAACTGATAGCCATACGGTGCAACTGAGTTCTTGACTGTCTTGCAGTTGGTGACCTCCAAATAAGTGCATGTGACTGGTGTAAGAGGCTGATCCACCACGAAGAGACTGGACCTAACCGTGGTGTGGAGGTTTGTGTATCTCGGAGACCCATTGAGCTATAACTGGAGAGTGTCCCGCGACACTCACAGAGTCTCTCATACCAGCTTGGTAAGTGGTTAGAGGTTTGACGAACACAATCTCCTGGCCCTCCAGGTTGGGGGTTGGGACATGTGGCGACTTGTTCCGTAGAAATGGTAATGCATTTGCATTTCCCGCCAAACACCACTGCCTTGCGGTTAGGCTTTTGAGCCAAAGGCTTTGGTTGAGAACCCTAATCGTCCTCCTGTCTAGGTGTGGGCGCCCTGGCAGTATCCCAGCCCTCGTACAACCATGACCTACACAACTAACAATATTCTCAAGCCACATCGGCCGTCGCTGCATACAGCAGGGCGGGTAAGCGAAAACATGCTACTGCTGACGCCTCCCTTCTTACACTTTCACGTTTTCCGTCTTCCACCCTCCCCCGCCCAAATTTGAATACTTTATCCGCAGGTCCCAGCTCTAG